ATGCTTTCATACGACACTGGTGATCACTTTTCATTGATGCTTTGTTGCAATCTAGATGGTTTGAGCTTTCGAATATGATATTTGTATACCTTAGGGTTTTTTTGAATCATCATTTTGATTCTTTATCATAGCACCACCTCATTCTAATGTTGCCAAATCCTATTAAACATGTTTTTCTGGATTTTGTTGAATTGGTTGTTTACATAGAGTGGAGTTTTTATTTGAAGAACAAGTGTGGGGGAATTGCTCGTATTGAAAGTTCCTAACATGGTAATGGACTTGTGTACCTCTTGTGTTGTTTTTTTTAATGATTCACAGGAACATGCCTCCTCGACATGGTAGGGACCACCCCTTGCTCACATACCTCAATTGAACGAGGAAAAGGACCCAGATGCTAGTAAGGATCATAGGGATCATCGACATTTGGCTTGGAGGGGAATCCGAGCCACTGGAAATGAGGAGGAAGTCCGAGAGTTTCTGAGAATCGGCGAATGGTTGACATTGCTCTCCATGAGGGAGACCATCTATAAGGAGCTGACGGTGGAGTTCTTAGTAACTTTCAAGTGCCTACATGGGACCGACCATGATTTCGACTTCGATGAGGAGGGCACGGTCACCTTCATACTTGGAGGTGTCCCGAGGAGTACGAGTGTCACATCCTTCAGTGTGGCACTCAACATTTACGTTGAGGCGTTCACTGGGACACAAGCCTACCGAGTTCTGAGGAGGGAAGGAGATGAAAGTCACGAGGTAATTCTTCAGTCTTTGCTGGATAATCTCTCTAAGGTGAGCATCACTACCGGATGGACAGCAAAACCTGCGTAGAGAACTCAGCTCACTCCCGTGATGGGCACTTGTCACGCCCTCATTGGCTATTCTCTCACGGGCAAGAATGAGAGTGGAAATAATGTGTACACCAGAGACCTCTACATGATCCACTAGCATTACGAGCGAATCCCGATCCACTTAAGATGGATGGTTGTCCTCTTGTTTGTCCAAGTGGCTATTGACAAGTGTGGACGGGTCCACGGTGGAGCATAAGTCACCCGCCTAGCGAGACACTTCGAGGTGGCAGTTCGATACTTCCAGTCCCGAGCGACATAGAACACCACACCCTTCTCCTCCAAGGCTTTTTACAGGATGGGTTTTGTCGCTCCTCACGTGCCAACTGATGATCGTGATGATGATGCTGAGGCACAGGACGATGATCAGGCGATTCCTCCTCCACCTCCACCTCGTGATGATGTCGGGCCTTCTCATGTAGGGCTCAACAACAGGATGGATGTTTTTGAGGTGAGGTTGGCCAACATCGGTCGACAAATTGACCTCATCCTCCCCTACCAGAACCGCCTGATGAGGACACAGCGGAGGATTGTGGACTACTTCGAGCTCACATGCGATGAGAACGTTGAGGCATCTGACGATGGAGAGTGAGCCTTTTCTGACATGGATGGAACCGATGGCCATTTCTCTACCCCTTTTCTTATCATTCCTTTTTGTTTGAATAATGAACGTTGTTGCATAATTAGTAGTATGTGTGTGCTTTTATTTTATTTTAAGTACGTAGTGGATGTTGTTTCATTTCATGATTAGTACTTGTTGCATGATTAGTACTTGTTGTTTCATTTCATTTTTTGCAGATGTGATTAATCTTCTCTTTAGATCCCTTCTTGTGGATATTCTCAAGGATCAAACCGACCTACCCTATCCTTCCACCCTACAATCACTCAAATTCATTCAATCGGTAACTTCATTCCCATATTCTTCGTCCGTGCTCGCAAAAAGGACAATGTGTTCCTTAAGTGTGGGGGGTTGTGCATAAATGGTCGTGTGGAATGTAGTTATTGATTGCACTCTCTTATGCCATAAATGTTTAAATGTTTGATAGAGAGAGAGTGTGCTTTAGAGTGATCGTGGACAATGATTTAGCATAGTTCAACCACTTGGAGCCTTGTATGCATGCCCAATTTTTTTTCAAATTTGAGGACTCCAAGTTGGCCCCTTTTGCATTCTCCCTACTTAATATGCTTTTATTTGCATGATTAGAGTACCAGTGTATGATGAGATTTTACTATCTTCTTTCTCTTTTGTGAGTTGATAATATTTGCTATTTTAGAAAGACATGTGTGCGAGATTCTCTTTTGTTTTTCTAGGGAACTCAAAGCTTTTACATTTTTGTGCTTATTGGAAAAGAAAGAAAAGAGAGAAAAATCTTTTGAAAGTGAGGCTCACGTGAGAGGTAACCAATCCTCACGAATTCAGAGTGCCCATTGAGGATATGCTTCGGATCGGATAGCTTTACCGCATCCCGACCATCTTTCACTACTTACCATCCCCAAGCATCTTTCCTCATCACGGAATCGTATGCCAAGGTCCAAAGTACCTTTTAGCGCATGAGACCTCAAAGCTCTAGTTTGTAACCGACATGTATGGCAACCCAATGTGGAATGTAGATTGAAAGTTGGTGCTCAGGCTAAGATGAATCCATCCATCAACTTCCCCACACGTGACCTTGAAAGGGAAGGCTATTATTCATCCGCTCTTGGTCATGAGGGAGAGATGCTAGTTTGCAAAAGAGTTGCAAAAGCTTGGTGCAATGCACGTCAACATAAAAAAACAATAAACAAAAAATCATAAATCTAAAGAGAGACTAAAGAGCACCTTCGAGATTTCTTGTGCTTATTTGTTGTTTGAGAATCCCCGGTGCACACCTTGAATGTTAGGCCTAAGGTAGTAAGTATAGTCCTTACCCGAGAGTTTGTGTTTGCACAGTAAGATGATAGTAACATTCATTCGTCTTTGTTTACTCTTCTTTATGCAATGAACTAGAGTGCATTCCCCATTATTTTATCTATCATGTTGCATTAGGGGTTTGAGTAGGTTTGCTTGGGGACAAGCAAACGCCTAAGTGTGGCGAAGTTTGATAACAGTTAAAAAGGTGTTATTTAGCCCCTACTCTCAAGGAATTTGCATACTAATTCACTGTTTCTAGGCCACATGTCAAGTTATTTATGCCCATATTCGTTCCTATTTGCAAAACTTGCATTTTAGCACAAGTATTCTTGATATGAAGGTTTTCATAGGGGAATCGAGCCCACTATGTAATATTTTATGTTTTTCCAAGTTTTGTGATGAATTTCCAGGTCTTATATGTATTTGGGATTGATCAGGAATCGATTGGAGTTCATCCGAACACGATTGGGAAGCATAGGAGCAAGAAGGGGAGAAGAGGCATTGGTCACTGCCACAGGTCACAGCCGTGACCACTAGGCTATGACCATGTTCGCGGGCTGTAGATCATGCCCGTGAACAGTATCCGTGAACTGCAGAAGGCCGACCAAAAATAAGACAGAAAGTCCCCCCAGTCGAATCGTGGGCATGGCGTATTTTGACCGCAACACAAAGATTGTGCCCGGGACACAAAGATGGTGCTTATAAATACTCCCTTTTCTGCACTTGACAAAGGAGAGCCGATCTAGAGTGAGAAAGTTAAGGTTTTGGAGTGTTTTAGAGAGGGAAACACCTTGGGAGAGCTTCATTGAATATCCAATAAACCCAAGGAGCAAGGAGAAGAAGATTGATTCCATCATTTCCCATCTTCTAGTTTGCGTTTTCTCTCTCTCTATGACTTGAATCTCAAATGGTTGTTTGGGTAAGATGAACCCTAGTTCATAGGTTGTGTATGTATGGATTTTAATGAATGAAAGTGTTTATCTAGTTGATTCTATTGCTATTCTAGCTTTGATTGTGTTTGGGTAAGTCACCCTAATCTTCTCTACTAGCCTACTTTATGCTTCTACGCTGGGTATGGAGTTTTAGGGTTACACGGGTATTGCGCCATCAAGCAAATCGAGGTTAGATGTATTAATAGGGACCTATGGTGGTTGAGGAGACGGAACCCTTGATATAGGTAAGCCTTCCTAGATAGAAACCTAGACAAAACCTTCGGGTAGATTGTGGGTAGTACCCGTTGAAAGGAGCTACGAGCTTAATGCCCCAGATACGATAGCCTGGATTGAGGTGACTTCTTAAGTGTCTGGTTTGTTGGGCGGAATCGGAAACAATGGAACATTTGTTTCTTGATTTCCAAGTGGAACGTGCTCTATGTGATCATTCGGGACTCAAATATCTTGGTCAAGGGATGCCTCACCACACTTTCCCCCTCTTACTAAAAAATTTGATGTTACTCATACACCAACCTTCACTATTCATGGCGGTTGTTGCAGCCTTTGGGGGATCTGGCGGTCATGGAACTGGGCAGTATTTGAGGGCAAAGAGTTTGGGATCCCAACCTTAATGTGACAGTTCAACTAACAGTATCATGATTGGGTTAGCATGCCAGTAGACCGTGTGCTCTAGTCTTCCATCCCACCAGTTCATCACGTGGGTTCAGTGGATCCAAACACGGTTATTTGTAGATGGGATGGGGCAATGAAAAGTGGGTCTCACTCGGTAGGTGGGATGATTATCATGAACCAAGATGGGGAAGTCCTCTTGGCTAAAGGGGTTCGGTTTCCGTTGATTGATGATCCTATGGTTTTCGAATTACTCATTCTACGGGAGGCAATTCTATGGTGCCTGACTCTTGGCTTTACGAAGATAAGATTTGAAGGTGATGCCAAGGTGATCATATAGAAGATCATTTGGGTTGATACATGGGATAGTCGAATGGGAGTTATTCTATAGGAGTTCGTGTTGTATTTTGAGAGTCATACTGGTTTCGTGTTCGATTTGTAAGCCGCGGTAGCTATAGGGTAGCCCACTTGGTGGCTAGAAAGACCCTCTCATTGTATCCGACTATGAATCGTTTTTTATTTTATTTTCTGACCTGGTTTAATTCGGGGATGTATTTATATATTTCTCAAATCAATATATGATTATCTTTTGTAAAAAAAACACATAGCAGGAAGAGTGAGTACATCCCGTTGCCACGTGATGGTTGGCCGTTACAAGCTCTTAAATTACCCAGCGTGTGACCAAATGTTCCGCTAGACGATTTCGCATCTCAATTCTCACCTCTCATTCTCTATCTTGCAGTAAAACAAAACACACTACTAGAAAACAGAAAAACAGGTGACAAGAGTAAAAAAAACACGAAAGGCCAACCAGATCACCAAAAAGAGCAAATGGGAAGTAAAGAGCGATCAAAAGATCGGAAAGAAAAGAGAAGACAAGAGATTTCTCTCCTCCGAACCATTCCTTATTCCGATCATCAAAGGTATAATAGTGCGCATTTTTTCTTTTCATTTAACAAATATCATTCACCCTTCTCTTGCATGATTTGTAAGAATGCAATATTTCTTTTAATGGCAATTATGTAATCGGTGATCCTTATGATTCAAACTTAAATGCTCCCAAACAAAAAAGATATATCAACAATAAGTTTCATATGAAAAACGTTTGTAAGCCTGTAAAAATGCTATGCTAGCGTTTATCAAAAAGAAAGGTTATATTGCATGAATATAATGTTTGTTGCTTGGTGTGAATTAGCATTTTATGTCAATTTTTGTAATGTTGTTGCATTAAGCCTTTATTTGTTTCATAATAGTTTATTGTTTGGGTTGGGGTAATGAAGTCGAATGTTGAATGTATGTGTTACATTATATTTTTAGATGGTGGTCAGCAAAAACGGTTGCAGTGGTGACAGGGGCCAACAGAGGGATAGGGTTCGAGATAGTGAGACAACTTGCAGGGCATGGAATCACCGTAATATTAACGTCTAGGGAAGCTAGTGCAGGAATTGAAGCCGCAAGTGTGTTGCAAGAGTTGGGCCTAAGCGTGACATTCCACCAACTCGATGTTTTGGACAAATCATCTATTGAAGAGTTTTGTGAATGGGTGAAAGAGCAATATGGTGGCATAGACATTCTGGTGTGTGTTATTAGTGATCTTGAATTGAAATTTCTTTTATCATTTTTATGCTTGTTCCTTATATATTTCTTGTTTGTTGTTGGCGTATCCTTAAGGTCAACAATGCAGGTGTCAACTTCAATATTGGTTCTGAGAATTCAGTTGAATTCGCTCGGATGGTTGTTGATACAAATTACTATGCTACAAAAAATGTGACTAAGGCTATGATTCCACTTATCAGAGCGTCTGAAGCAGGTGGACGAATCGTTAACGTTAGCTCAAAACTCGGCAGAGTCAGTGGAAAAAGAAATGTAAGTCTAACCGAACTTATACAATAATACTATGATAAATGGAAGGAAAAAAAACAAATGTTAACTCTAGCTATTTATCTATTACTCTTTTCATTTGTTTTAACTCAACTGAAGACCAGATGTTAGATGAGACAACTAAATGACATGTATATTGATTAACCAATCTTAAAAATATTGTTATTACTTCCTAGAGAATCGAAAACCAAGAGCTGAGAGAACAACTAAATGACATGGAAACATTGTCGGAGGAATTGATTGATGGAATGATGTGTAAGTTCTTAGAGCAAGTGGAAGATGGGAGCTGGGAATCTGGCGGGTGGCCTCACGCCAACACAGATTACTCCGTCTCGAAACTAGGGGTCAATTACTACACTAGGCTACTGGCGAAGGAGATGGCTGATCGGCCCGACGGCGAGAAGATTTACGTGAATTGTTACTGCCCTGGGTGGGTTAAGACTGCGATGACAGGGTGGGCGGGTACGACATCGGCCGAGGACGGTGCCGACACCGGAGTCTGGTTGGCCCTCCTCCCCGATCAAGCTATTACTGGGAAATTCTTTGCTGAGAGACGTGAGATCGCCTTTTGATTTAACTAGTCTCATTTTTTACTTATTATCGTTATTAAATTTTTGTGTTGCTGGTGGTATTTTTGAGTAAGACATTAGAAGGTGTGTACGACTTAGCTTTTGTGTTTTGGTTAATGACTTTCCTTTCAGGTCACGACTGAGGAAGAAGCCGTACTTTGTTGTTTTGGGAAATTTATTTTTGTTTTTTATATTTTTATAATTTTATTTTTTGGTTAATTTGATAATGATAAATAATAAAAATTAGGAAAATAATTTGAATTTGTTTAATGATTTTTAGGCTGACAATGCAATGACATGGCGTGTTGACTAACGGTCAACACCAAACTAATAGTCAAACCATGTGTTGGGCCAATTGAGTCTATATGTTGCATAGTTGAGACCAGGATGTTAATTTCTGAAACCAAAAGCCAAAGTTGATTATATGGTCATAGTTCAGGCAAAAATAAGGTATTAACTCTATTATATACTCTCAAGTTTGTGCAAAAATCATTTATAGTACTATTTTCTATTCAAATGCGGCTCAATGCTCTACTGAATCCTGGATCCACCGCTGATAGGAAAACTAGTAAATTCATTTTTTCATAAAGGCACACATTAATAGGACAGGTCCCAGGGTTTACCTCATGAAGAGGAAAAGAAAAGACATACAAAGATGGGAAGAAATCATGAAGAAGGGTCTTCAAGTGCTGAAAATCCTACTACAAAGCTCTCCTCCGCTTCTTCTTCTCCTCTTCTTCCCCAAGCTTCTACTTCTCTCTCTAACCTCACTCTAGAACAAGAAATCTACCAAAAACAACTCTATTCAAGAGGGGAGTACCCTATTTATAGAGTTCAGGGTTGACGGGCAATTTCACGGATGGATCAGGAAAGATCGCAGCCGTAATCTAGGGGAAAGAGGTCGCTAACGTTTGATATGTAATAGGATGTTTTAGACTTGAATTGGGAATGACGATGAAAGTATCTATCTATGCCTATTTGCTGTTTGTTCATTCTTGCATCAATTAGTGTGGGATTGTCTGTATCCCATTTGCCCTAATTGCAACCTAGATTGTAGGGAATTTATCATTCTCCTTCTTGTGATTTATGGATGAATTGAGTTTACCTATAGTTTGTATGACTTTATCTATGCTAATTATGCTTTGAACCTTGTCTCTCCAATTATTTTCTTGATATCCTACTATTTAAGAGTGCATATTTCGACTGGATTTGAGCGGATGGGTAGAACCCATTTAGAGAAGATAGGTTTTATTCTGACAACGTGAAGCTAGATGAGGTGACATTGGACTAGTGGGATCGATTGCATGACCATTCACCCGATCCCTAGATTATCAATCTCTACAACTCGATTACCATGGATCGTCCTTCCATTTTTTGCATGCCATCTCATGCGGTTAGGGCGAGGAAGGCACCCCAAGTACCTCTTCCCTCCTATCGTTCCCTAATTCATTAATTTCCAACTGCCCACCTGCTACCGCTATACTACTTCGTCAATCTAGGGTGCATGTGGGTAAATAAAAATATTTAAGTGGTAGCCTGTGTGATTTGAACTTGGGTCACTGTTACCACAAGTAACTTATTTTCCATTAGACTACAATTCATTTGTTCTTTTATTTTAAATCCAAATACAGTATTAAAAAACTATTCCTTATCCAATTCAAGATAGTCGTTGTTGGGGACATGAGAAATTAGGAAGATATACAGTTCGGTCAAGCTATGTGGAATGAAAGGCAAAACAAAGCCAATTCGAAAGGGGAGCCCTATGTTTCGGTGGATTGGAAGAGACTCTGGCATCTAAACCTACCTCCAAAAGTTAGGGGTTTCGTGTGGCAATGGGAAAGCAATATTCACCCGACAAAAGCAAATCTCAGCAAGAGGATCAAAGTATCCTGGGACGAGTGCCCATTTTGCGGTTTGAAAGAGACATAAGAACACATTACAAGAGATTTAGATTGGGAAGGGAGAGTATGGCGCCCTAGTGAGATTAAGAACATATTCAGACTACGCGAGGGGCATGAACAGTGAAGAATGGTTATGTGAGTTGCTTGATAAAGCATATGACGAAGATCTATGCAAAATCATAATGACCCTATGGTATATCTGGAAAGAGCGGAACAACCACATGTTCAATAATCATAAGGAAAGTGCCTATAAGATCCCCAATCTTTCTTGAGACGGACTGACAAATGATCATAAGGAAACTGGAGGGGGATATGGGGAGCGACCTGGAAATTGATTTTCTATGCAAGGAAATAAGAGGAAGGACAGAAGAAATGGAAAATGTGAAATGTAGGAAGGGGAACGAAGCTGGGCCCACAAGATGGCTCAGATGATGAGTCGATGGGAGGAGACCGAGATCTGGTTCGACTGGCTTCCGATTTTTACTGTTCCTATTATGCTTAATGATTGTAATGATCTTATGATATAAGTAACGAATATTCACGTGAGTTAATCGTAGTTCAATCCTTATCATTATGATCCTGTATAGGGATGACAACAAAACCCGAACCCACGGGTACCCACCCGACCCAATCCGGTCAACGCGAGTAAAATTCGTGTTGACGGGTTTTGGGCCGGGTTTGGGTTTAAACCCGTTCACTATTCATCGGGTTGGGTTGTGTTTGGTTTTAGGTAAACCTGGCCCATGGGTACCAGAACACACCTCTATAATTAATTTTCTCGACATATTTAATACTCTAAACAACTAATCTTATTTATGTTTGTGGAGACATGTCTAATTTTTTCTTTCTAGTTGTGTAGAATGAAGTTTATGTTATCAAATGGAGAGTGGAAAACTTAATTGAAAGGAAGAAACTTTCAATTAATCATGCTATTTATGGATAATTTGTGATTTGCTTCAATTTTCTTGAGTTTTCTAGTTTGGTGTTGTACAATTTGTATTGTTAATTTGTGATTTGCTTGAATGTTCTAGAATGGTGTTTTATATATGGATAATTTGTATTGAGAGATTGATATTTGATTTTAATATTGATGAGAACTTGTTATTGTGAATTTTTTACGACAAAAACCCGTGGGTACCCATGAACCCGCGGATACCCAGCGGGTTGGATTTGAGTTTTTCAAACTCAGTGGGTTTTACCCCGAGTTTTTTTCACAGATAAACCCATTGGTTTGGGTTTGGATTTGGCAAAACCCGACCCAACCCCTAATCCTGTATTTGACATTTCCAATTCGACCCACAAGTACGGTATGTTTTGTCGAACATTGATTTTTGGAGGAAAATCCCACATAAGTACATAACCAAACCAAAGGTGATTAATGAACTGGGGGAGGTAGAGTGCCGAGATTTTAGGAAGGCGATTTCTCCATCAGCGTGCTAGGGTTTTCTTCGCTCGGGGCAATGCCGGCGGTGCCCGTGCCGCTGGCCTCGGGGGGCTCTGCAGCCTCTCCGACAACGGAATCAACAAGCGGCCAACGTCGGCCGCCGTCGGCGACTTCATCTCCGAATCCAAAGGGGCAAAATGAATCACAACAAAGCAAGAAGAGAGCCAAACCGACGGTGAATATCCCAACAGTGTATGGGGATACGGATGTCATCCTGGAGGATGTCCAAGAGACGAGGGGAAAGGAACAAAAACCGGCTAGCCCTGGGCCGTCAGTCTGGGGAACGGGAGCAACAGCAGCTCGCCGCCTGTTTGGGGAAGGTCCTCGTTTGGACAGGTGGTACACAGCTGACTCAGACTCGGAGGATATTGCGACGGCCATAATAGAGGACGGTCGGGATGGAGGGCTTGAGGACGAGGATGATGACCCGTTCTGTCCCCCGGTTCACTTTTCGGCGGCGGAAGAGAGACGCTACAGTAGAGAGTGGAGATCAGCCCTAATCGTCAAAGCCTTGGGGAAATCTTCCTCGTACACGGGTATAGCAAAGCGTCTTGACACAATATGGGCGAAAGCAGGCGGTATTCAAGTTGCGTCAGCCAAAAATGGATACTATGTTGTGCGGTTCACAAGCGGTATTGACTATGAGAGAGCGGTAACGGGTGGACCTTGGATGATGGGGACAACTACCTTACCGTTCATGCATGGGATAAAGATTTCAACCCATACAGGCACGAAATAGCCTCCACCATCGTTTGGGCAAGGCTACTTGACATACCAATCCATTACTTCAACACAGAAGCTGTCATGAAGATTGGGAAAAGAATAGGCAAACCTATCAAAGTGGATCAGGCGAGGAGCACCGGGGCACGGCTGGACTATGCTCGGGTTTGTGTCCAAGTAGACCTCACCAAACCCCTACTATCGAAGTTCAAAATCAATGGAGTCAAGTATTTTATCCAGTACGAAGGGCTGGAGAAAATTTGTTTGGAATGTGGACGATACTTTGATAGGGCAAAGTGTGCTTGTAAAGTGCCATCTGAGGACATGGAGACAGATAATGGAAAAGAGCCCGAGAAACCGAAGCAAGCTGAACCAGAAACTCATTATGGAGACTGGATGATCGCCAAGAGGAGGAAAAGAACTGCCCGAAAGGAAGGCAATCCGCAGTCGGGGAAGGGACATCCGAATTTAGTGGGGGGAGCTCCGGGAGCATCAAAGGGGTCGAGGTTCAACGCACTGCAAGTCGAATATGAACTAGTGGATGATATAAGCTCGAGCCAACAAGTTCCCGAGACCCCGCTGAACAAAACCAAGGCCACGGCCAGGGAACGAGAAAAGAGGGAGCGCCAAGGGTATCGGCAGCTTCGAAGATGAAGGCAGTTCAGAGAGAGCCCACCCAAGAGAGAGAGAAGCTGAATACCAGTGTGCATAGGGCAGCCCAACAACAGGAAGATCAAGTGAGCAGGGTGATGGAGGGGTTTATCTTCACGGGAAAGCAACAACCTTCCAACCATCCTACCCGAACCTCTTGCACACCAGACCTCACAGCCAACCACCCACCGGGTCAAGCGGCCCATGCAGCGTACGTACCTCCAAGGGATGAAGAGAGAGTGCTGGACCCGAAACGGGATCCACCAGATAAGGAGATTGGGACTCTCATCGCAGGGGAATTCTTGCGGGACCAAACCAAAGAAGCCGTGAACCGAACCCAAGCGGACCATGATATGGAGACAGCCAAGGATGGGGCTATCCCGTCCTGAGTTTTACTAGGGAAACTATCCTAACCCCACTCTATCCTAATGAATTGCAAAGTTTTTGTTTGGAACTGTCAGGGTGCGGGAAGTAGACGCTTTACCAGAGTGTTTAATGAGTACAAAAGGAGGCATCGACCTCACATTGCGATTATTGTTGAGCCACGGATTAGTGGTGACAGGGCCAATGACGTCAGACAGAGCTTGGGCTTCGACAAAGAGCTTGTGGTTGAGGCAGTGGGATTCTCAGGAGGAATCTGGGTGTTATGGAACTCCACGGATATTCAGTTGTCCCAAATCGACGCTCATGCTCAGTTCATTCACATGCAGGTGGAGCCAACAGGTGGACAGGGGCCGAGATGGCTGCTCACCTCGATCTATGCAAACCCCGCCCCCATGCAACGTCGAGTGCTGTGGGAAACTTTGAGAGAGTTAGCCGAAGACCAGGACCAGGCTTGGGCTCTCATGGGCGACTTTAACTCCATCTTGCATCCCGAGGAGAAACTAGGAGGTGCCCCATTTGACTCCTCTCGCATTCAAGACTTCCAGGACTGCATCAATGATACTAGCCTGGTGGACCTAGGATACTGCGAGCCGCCGTTTACTTGGTTCAGAAATGGTACCCGAGAACGCCTTGACCGCGCTCTAGCCAACAATATGTGGACATCGTTGTTCCTGGAAGCCTCGGTCAGGCACTTACCTCGTGTTAAATCAGATCATAGACCCCTTCTGCTTTCTACAGATTTGTCGTGCCAACCGGCTGGCCCGAAACCGTTTCGTTTCCTGGCTGCATGGCTTACCCACGACGAGTTTACTCCGATGCTCCAGGAAGCATGGGCCAAGAGGTCCTCATTCACTAGGTCAGCGGAGGAATTTTCCAAGGACGCAATGCGGTGGAATCACCATGTCTTCGGCCATATTCTCCGGAAAAAAGATACCTTGTTGAGGAGACTAGAGGAACTTGAAAAGAGAGATGGGCGGTTGTCAACGTCACCCCAGCTGGAGGGCACTCGAGAGGAGCTCGAGACCGTCTTGTTCCAAGAGGAACTCTTATGGTACCAGAAATCAAGGTTGGAGTGGATTGTATCGGGGGGACAGAAATACGGCGTACTTCCATGCGAGAACGTTGCAGCGACGAAAGAGGAGTCGGATCCGGGCACTCAAAAACAATGAGGGTGAATGGGTGGACGATCCGGAGGGGCTAAAGCAGCTAGCAATGCTCTATTTCCAAGCCCTGTACACAGATGATAATGAGGAAATGGAGGTGCTGTATAGCAACTTCCCGGAACTTGGAGAAGAGAAGTGGCAACAGCTGGCTGCTAAACCAAATGCGGAAGAAGTGTGGTCGGCGATAAAGGCGATGGGTGCCTTCAAGGCGCCCGGAAAAGATGGCCTTAATCCTCTATTCTTTCAGAGATGTTGGGAAACAGTGGGGAGCAACCTAGCTAAGATAATCGAAGATTGTTGGGAGTGGCCGGATAGGATCAAGGAGATTAATTCCACCGTCCTAGTCCTCATCCCGAAAATTTCCACGCCTACCACCATCGACCAGTTTCGGCCTATATCCCTTTGCAACGTAGCGTACAAGGCACTTACGAAGTGTATAGCTGAGAGATTAAAACCCCTCATGCCGGGGTTGGTTCATGAGACCCAGACAAGCTTTGTACCGGGCCGTCACATTACGGATATTATTTGTATTCTCCAGGAAGTGGTACACTCCATGAGAGCGAAAAAGGGTAGGCGAGGGTAGATGGTGCTGAAAATCGATCTCGCTAAGGCTTACGATCGCATCCAGTGGGAGTTTGTCAGAGACACGCTGGAAGCAACCGGAGTGCCAGCCAAGTTGACTGAAGTAATAATGGCGTGCATCACCTCGGCCTCGATGGAGATTCAGTGGAACGGTGGGCTTACAAGCTCATTCTTACCGTCTCGGGGACTCAGACAGGGTTGCCCTCTCTCGCCCTATATTTTTACCCTTTGCATGGAACGTTTGAGCCATTTAATAAATAACTCTGTTGAGGCTGGAGCATGGCAGCCAGTCAGGCTGACCGGGACAGGGCCAGCTCTCTCTCATTTATTTTTTGCAGATGATCTAATCCTTTTTGGCGAGGCTTCTTCCCAACAGGCACAAGCGATTCTTCAATGTTTCGATACTTTCGGAGCAGCTTCGGATCAGAGAATCAGTAAGCCAAAGTCAAGGGTGTTTTTCTCGATGAATGTCGCCGAGGCCAAAAGAGCAGAATTAGGTGCAGAGCTGGCAATACCACAAACGGCCAACCTGGGGCGCTACTTGGGGGTACCGGTCATCCACGATCGGGTGTCGAAGGCAACATACAATGAGCTGATTGACAAGGTGAATAATCGGCTTGCAGGATGGAGGGCGGATAAATTGAGCATGGCAGCGCGGGTTACCCTTGCCCCAGCGGTACTCTCATCGCTCCCGTCGTACACCATGCAGACGTCGTTCCTGCCGGCGAGCGTGAGGGAGTACATCGACAAGAAGATCCGAGCTTTTGTTTGGGGAAGCACGGAGAGGGGCAGGAAAATTCACCTCCTGGACTGGGAAACGGTGTGTCGACCGAAAGAGGAAGGCGAGCTAGGCTTGCGCACAGCTACGAGATCAAATGAAGCGTATATGATGAAAATTGCCTGGCGGTTACTGACAGGGAAGGACGAACTATGGGCTCGGGTGATTTGGAGCAAATATATTCGGGAGAGGGGGAATGGATTAGAGCCAAGAAGGCAGGGGCGAATGTCAAACCTTTGGAGGGGAGTGATCCGCGTTTGAGACAAGATGGAAGAGGCCACGGTCTGGAATATGGGCGATGGAAGAACTACAAAGTTCTGGACGGACAGATGGGTTACGGACGGCGATCCGCTGGACATGACTGTGTCGGAGTTCGTGCTCAACGGGGAATGGAACAGGGCCTTCATTGATTATTATCTTCCTAACGATTTTGCTTTGCAGGTTTATTTGTACCCTGTACCGGCGGCACACGAGAGGGACATAAGATGCTGGCGATTCTCCTTAGACGGGCGCTTCAATTTCAAGACGGCGTATGAGTTCACGGCAGAGGACGCGGGAGCCCCAAACCATAGGCACCCGAAATGGCGAGCGATTTGGAGAGCTCCAGTCATGCAGCGGACGAGGACCTTTCTTTGGCTAGCTACCCATCAACGGTTGCTTACTAACGCGGAGAGAAGACGAAGGCACCTTACAACAGACAGCAGCTGCAAGACGTGCGGAGGAGGACCTGAAACAACCTTGCACGTGCTCCGAGACTGCCCTTTCGCGCGGGGAGTCTGGGCGGGGTTGCTTGAAGACGAACCAGACAGGGACTTCTACGGGAAGAGCTTGGAGGAATGGATGTTCCACTACTACACAGGGCGGGGACGAGTAGTCGATGCCACTCTCTTTGCAGGTACACGCTGGCTCCTGTGGAAGAACCGGAACAACTTCTGCTTTCAAGGTGAACTCCAGTCCTTTGCTCAAATTCAGTTCCACTCGGCCCAGCTAAGGCAGAGCATCATCCGCGCGATGGAGAAGGAAACTATAGTTGGCGGAGCCGGGGGACTCCATACACCAACACCCATTTGCTGGCAGCACACAGAGCCAGGGTGGACATGCCTCAACACAGATGGTTCTGTTAACCACTCTCATTCGAGTACGGCGGCAGGCGGGGTCGTGCGAGGGGATGATGGGCGTTTCATTATTGCCTTCACCATGAACCTTGGAGGGGGTTCGATCACCAGGGCCGAGTTAGCTGGAATTGAGCAGGGGCTGAGGTTTGCTTGGGAGGCAGGGGCTCGGAAGGTTCTCTTGCAGACGGATTCGACAACAGCCATCAACCTCATTGAGACAGCGGATCAGCAGCATATGCATTTCACGAGAGTTAGGCAGATCCGACAACTACTAGCCAGAGACTGGCAGGTCAGACTGAGTCATATCTATAGAGAAGCTAACGTCGTCGCAGATTATTTGGCCAACTTAGGCCATACTTATTCGGTGGGAACCCATAAAATCTTTGTACCCAACAGTGCTCTCTCGTACTGGTTGTATCATGACTACATCGGGGTTGAAACGACCCGTTTGATTCCTCAGTAAAGGTTGGGACGCCCTTCTGCGTCCCTTTTTCTACCAAAAAAAAAAACCAAAGGTGATTACAGTCTACAAAGATCGCCGGCTCAGTCTTAGGCTTCCGGCGGCCCTTCTCTCTTCGCCTTTCGTTTGTCGCGTCTCCCTAAACTCCGCGGCGGCAACTAATCGGGCCTCGTTTCAGCCGTTCTGTCTCATCCTTCATCAGCCATCGCCTCTCCCATCTGCCGATTTCTGCTCCTGCGCTGCCGGCCCTGGCTAGCAAGTAGATGGGGAACAAAGAGCGCGCTAAAGAAAGACGTGAGAAGAGACGCCAAGAGATTTCTCTTCTCCGTACTATCCCGTACTCTGATCACCAAAGGTACCGTTTCTATCCTCCCCCGTTTCCCGTCCTCAACTGTTGAAATTTCCGTATTAGCTGGTTGGTTTGTCCCGCTGAGCATCTGGTGGAAACACTTAACTAAAGTCTGGTGTTTCGTTGAGGTATTCAACCAAGAATGTGTTTCAGTTGGATATATTGCTGTAGAGTTATGGGTTGTCTAAAACTTTGTAATTTGTGGTAGGGTTTCTTTAGGTGGTGGAACTCCGAAACTGTTGCTGTGGTTACTGGTTCCAACAGAGGTATAGGGTTTGAGATTGTGAAACAGATTGCAGGCCATGGAGTTACTGTCATACTGGCATCGAGAAACCCTAGTGCTGGGATCGAAGCAGCTAAGAGCTTGCAGGAACTAGGCCTGAGTGTGGTGTTTCGCCAACTTGATGTCCTGGATACTTCATCCATCCAACATTTTGCTGAGTGGATAAAACAGAACTATGGTGGTATAGACATTCTGGTAAGCCATTCGACTCAATTTACATGTGATCTTTATGATTCTGTATTGGTTATTGGAAGCAGTATGAACTTGCTCCTCAT